CTTGTTAATGGTAAGGACAGAATCAGTGCAGGCACACAAAATCTGCAGTTTGATCGACACATCCCGAGAGCAACCAGTGACTTGCAAGAATATCCCGCGCTAGTGAGCCTGTACTGCCACCTGCTGTTCAAATATAGACTTGCATGCAGCGCCGCCAACGGGGCGAGTTCAGGAGCTGAACACGCCAATCAGATTGATTTTGTGCTACTGGTAGTTTCGCCTGAGCCAGGGGTGAATACGTTTTTTTTAAAAAAAAAAAACAAATCCTTCCACTCTTCCAGGATCTTTCAACACCCATCTGCGGCCTCCCGAGACCTTGTTCAAGGTGATCTTCTGGCTGGGCTACTTCAACAGCTGCCTGAACCCCATCATCTACCCCTGCTCCAGCAAGGAGTTCAAGAGGGCCTTCATCCGCATCCTCCGGTGCCAGTGCCGGCGCAGGAAACGCCCGGGCTGGAAGGCCTCCAACTACCGCACCTCCCACCTCGACTCCTCCGACTACTCCCGCAAAGACTCCGTGGACTCCATCTTCTTCAACGGGAGCCAGAGGAGGCTGTCCTCGCCCAGCCCCAGCTGCCTGTGCATCGGGCCGGACCGACACCACGAGCCGGGCGCCCCCCACGCCTGGCGGCCCTGCGCCTCCTCCCTCCCCGGCAGCCCGACCGACAGCCAGCTCCGGCCCCTGGCGGGGAGGCTGGACAGCGGCTGCCTGTGCCGGGGGCTCCCGGAGCGCAACGGGAGCAGCGCGCTCCCGCTGCAGAGACCCTACGCCCTCTGCCTGGGGCCCCCTCAGGCCCACGGCCTCCCCTATGGCCAGGGGCCCGCGGGGAGCGGCCGTGTGGGCGGGTTCGCCCTGGTGTCGGAGTGAACCAGCGGTCCGGCGGTTCGGGGGCTCAGGCGGCGGGTACCGCACGCCGGGCCGCGCTGTGTTTCTGGTTGTTTCTTGTTGTTTTAGCGGACCTGCCCTTTGTTTCCTTGCGAACCCACCGAGTCTGGGATGACCAATGGGTGGGGAACTCGGCTGTCTGCGAACGAAGCCTGCCGGGGTGGACGGAGACGGGCTGTGAGCCGGAGTCGGCGTCTGGCGCACAGCCCAGAGAGTCCCCGCGCACTCGCCACCCCCTTCAGCGCAGACCATCGGTAACACTCGAGCCCGCAGCCTCTGGGTCGTAGCGCGGACCCGTCGAGCCGCACCCGGGACCGGGCTCGCTTGAGCGAGCCCGACGCCTGCAGGCCGCGGCAGGGTTCGTCAGTGTCCCGCTGTCAGAGAGGGCGGTGACGTCACTGCTGTAACTGAGCGGGGCTGAAGAAGAGGATGAGAACCCCGCTGCATATAGGATAGGACTGGACTGCGCCAGGCAGCTGTGACACGGACGCTGGCGGGTAACTGTCAACGAGAGCCTCGACAGATCGATGTCTGAGCTAACAGCGACGGACACACCGAAATAAGTGAACGCATCTTGCACGATGCGCATTTCACTTGTATCTTGCGAGTCTGTAAATCTACGGTATTCTTGGGAACTGCGGGCTGAGGCAAGAGATGTTTAACTTGTGTCCGTGTGACTCTTGATTTTTGCTGGA